CATAGGAGCTGACTGCATGGTAGGAGTGTAAACATCAGCCCATGCATGGACGGGCACATGACTGCCCAGAAACAGAGAGGAGGAACCACTCCGGTCCCTTTTGTGGAGGCTCCTAGCAAGGGTCATGGGAGATGGTTTGTGGGAGGGTCGTATAAGAGGACTACTGGCTAAGTGGAGACAGGCTGAAATCCTGGGTAAAGAGATGCAGATGCTTTTCCTCCAAGTGATGCCGATGGGTATAACTGTCAGACACAACCAAACCAGGTCACAGCTGAAGTGGTGAAGTGGGTCTGACTTGGATCAAAAAAAGATCTCTGCAGGGTGTGCAATTCTCTTTTAAAGGTTACATTCCCCTCTAAAGGTTATGTTTGCAAACGAAAAGCAAGACATTAGCAGGGTGATGACTTAAATGCTAGGTGCTACGTCAAGCAAAGAGAAAAGGTCTGAGAATGCTTATCTCTACCAGAAGTTATTTAAATATGTAGAAAATAACAGAGCGCAGGACTAACTCAGGAGAGTATAGGTACTGTATTGTTGTTAATCTCTTCAGAAAGAGTTCATAGTTTCTTAGAAGTTTTCTGTATTTTCCTATTTCCCAGAATATTTAAAATATGTTGTTAGCCAAGAGCTAGTTTCAGCTGCCACCTAAATCATCTGAAATTGCCTTTCAGATGAAAGAGTCCTCTCTGGTAAAGATATTTCCCTCCTCTCTCTTTCTGGCACGCGTTTGTTCTCCTGCCCTCTTTCATGACAGCTTATTCATTGCCTGTTTACAGTAAAGAGGGATCAAATTATTCAAAAAATAAATATACCCTTGGAAAAAGGATCAAAAGCATAAACCCTGAAGGCCAGTGCCTGCGGCGGGCGCTGGGGCTGGTCCCTCCTGGCAGCTCTGTGCAGGCTGGCTCCTTGCCTGGGCACGGCTCCCCTTGCTGCCCAGCACAGCCACCCACCGCCACCGTGGATGCTGAGCTCCTCAGGTACCTCTGCAGCTTTCCCTCTGCTCCTCCAAGGACGGATGCCCTTCCCGGGAGAGGTGCTGGGCAGTGTGCCGAGGGTGCTGGGCCTGCTTCTCCTCCCCGGGGACGGTCGCTGACCCGGCACTGCCGACGACGGCGCTGCCTTTGCCGTCCCTTGGGCTGCGGGGACAACCTCCTGCGTCTTGGGAAACATGGTGTGTCGGCTCGGGGAGAGCTGTAATCCCGACGCTGCTTAGAGGTGTCAGAAATCTGGGGCTTGGCCTCTGAAATCGACAACTGAAATGAGGGGCGAGAGGATTTTAAGTGAGCTACAATGTTTTTATTTGCGGATTTTATGTCCGTGTAAGCATCATCTCATTTTGACGTTTTTAATGGTTTTGTTATTACATGCAGTTTTAAATTTTGTTCTCACACTAATTTATTGTTGTTTCTGGCAAGGCAATAATGCTCCTGCTCCCTTCCCCATTCTCTCCTCAGCTGTTTTGGCTTATGAGGGGGAATCCTCTCTCATGACCTTGTTCTTCAGGAGTAACTGCAATTATCAGAGGATATTTTGCTCTCTTGACTCGGTCAATTCTGTGAAGGGCTTCTAAACCTGGTCTTGTATGAAGCCCTCCCTGTTGATCTATCCATCAGCCTGATATTTCTCTCCAAGGTTTTGATCTTTCAAGGAGCCAAGCTGCTTGTGAGGTCCTGAGTGACATTAACCTTCACTGGGTGACGACTCACCCTGCAGACCAGAGGCTCAGATCTCTCTGTTATTCCTGGGGACTGCGAGGAGAGAGGTGTGAGGGCTCTTCTCTGCCTTTCTGGGGAACGGTGCTCCTAGGGTCACCCCACAAGTGTCTGCTGGAAGCAGAAAATAATGGTGCAAAGGTTCGTGTTAAGCAGTGTGCAAAGCTGGAGCACAGATGCAGGCGGCAGCTGACCTCTGTCACCCTCCATCGTTGTACACGGCTGGGAAAAGCAAGTGCATCCCATCCAGCTGCGAAGCCACCAGTAGCAAACGGCATGAAATACCAGACCATTTTGTAAAACTGCCCGTGGTGTCGGGCTCTGAGCTCTCAGCAGAGCTGTCACCAGCACAGCGGAGCGTGGGGTCTCTCCTGCCGGCACGGGTCTGAGCAGAAACCCACTGGGAAGAGGGCAGCCCTCCGGTGAGAGAGGCAAGGAGAGGGAAAGACTCTTGCTGTGCTTTGGGGTCCCGGGAGAGCTGCTGCTGCGTGGTGTGAAAGCTCAGCTGAGAAGCGATGTTCGGCACCTGAATGTCTCACCTGCCCCCAAAATTCTGGCCAAGCTGGTCAGAGGACCCATGCCAGCGACCCGCCGACCAGGCAATGTGTATACCTCTCCGTGCATATACACGTCCAACGGCTGTGCTGATGGTCCCTGTGGCACACACGTGGCAGTGCCAGCGTGTCCAGCATGGGCCCTGGCTGGGGGACCTGCACCAGAGACATGTCCTGAGAGGGATCTAGCTGAGAACAGCTCTGGCTAAGTCAGAGAGGTTTCCTTGAGCTCGTGTGAAGCCACTCTTCCTCCTTGCCCTCTGCCTGTCTCTTCATGTGATTATTTCCTTTTCTGTTGCTCTCCAGCAGCACACTTCTGAAGCTGATATTTTCTTGTAGCTGGTTTTTAGTCCTCTGGTAAGTCCTCTGTACAGGTGGCTGCAGATGCTCTTTTGAGAGCCCCAACCTCTGCCATCAGCACAGTCAATTGCGTTGCCTTCTAAAATCTTTTAATGGTCATTCTCATGAAAAAATCTCTGCTTTCCAAAGCTGCATCTTTCGATATTATTTGCCAGGGTTGTCACAGTTTCAAGAAGGAAGATGTTAAGCAGTGTTTGAAGTCTGAGAGTGCTGCTCCGTGTTCAGGCTATTTTAGGAAAGCATTGCAATAGCCCTTGAGTATGACAGCCGAGAGCAGGTTTAATTCCTCTCAGATGAAGCTGAGGTTTCTAGAGCTATTGCTCAAGATTTACAGAAGTTGAAGCCAAATGTTGACAGTCTGGCTTGGCTGGAAGGTGACCGGTCAGGCTCCCCAGAGTAATTGGGTTGACATCAAAACCATGACTTTGTTTAAGGTCAGTGGGGTTGGGATATTTATTGGGTTGGGGACCTATGAGGTTACCAGCCACCTTTTTCTTCACAGTTGTGAGAACTGGAAACTGCAGTTCTCAGTCACAAAATTCCCAGACTTGCGGCTTCCAGAAAAACAAAAAACCACAAACAAACCCAAATCTTGGACTTCCAATAAAATCATTGTAACTAACAACAATGATTCTGCTGTAGTTACTGTCAGTGACAATGCTAATAGTACATTTGGAACCAAAACTGAGGAGTTTCATTTTAAAAAGTGAAGAACAGCCCATAGAAATGAGTGTGAATGGCACCTGTGTGGAGTTCAGAATATTAAAAGAAGTGGTTTCTTATTTAGGTACATAGATTCATAGAATCATAGAATCATTATGGTTGGAAGAGACCTCAAAGACCATCAAGTCCAACCGTATACCAGATACCACCATGCCCGCTAAACCCACTAAGCCATGTCTCGAAGCGCCACATCTAAGCATTTTTTGAACACCTCCAGGGATGGTGACTCCACCACCTCCCTGGGGAGCCCGTTCCAATGCTTAACGACTCGAACAGTGAAGAAGTTCTTTCTAATGTCCAACCTGAACCTCCCCTGGTGCAACTTGAGACCGTTTCCATGAAAAAACATGTAAGAGTATTACTTCAGATTTTTGGGTCCAGATTCAGGCTCAGGGAAATCCAAGTCTGGGTGCCCTCTGTATCTCCTGCGTAGGCAGCTCTGGAATCCCAGGCCCAGGCGATACCCTCCGGGCGTTACAGCCTGACAATGGACTAAGATGGAGCTGGGGCTCATGGCACTAAATTTCAGAGTCTGGAGAATTGTGAGTGGCAGAAGAGGCTGTTAATCTTCTCTCTAACCCACCCTGTGGCCACCCGGTCCAAGCAGGGTGTTTGAGCATTGGTATTGGGGTACACGTGCTGGTGAGCACAAATGGGACACACTGCATGTGCTTCAGCAACCAGCACCTTGTTAGCGATGAAAAGATTTCTTACAGCTCATGCCTGAAAGCAAAAGGGTCTCTCCAGGGTAAATGGCGGCAGCTCCTCTTGTCTGTGGCTTCCTTTGGTCCTGAAGCCGCATTGTTCCTAAGGTTACCCCAGGTATGGATCTAAACTCTCATAAGGTCTGCAGAACTTGGCAGGCAGTGGCTGGTATTTCTTTATTCTCAAAGAACCTCTAAAGTAATTTCCAATGACATGTTGTCTGGATAACTACTTTATTTTTAGTTTAATTTTAGTTGTAATCCCTATTCTCTTTGTCTTCCTTCCTCCCACCCGCTTTCCGCTTCCCTTCACCCCTGCTCATGCCCATCTCCATCCCTGTTAATGAATTCTTCAGATAGGCACCAATGTAACGTCGTGTTAGGGAGCTACAGCTACTGCAGGATAAGGAATAGAAAAGCCAGGGAAAGCTACACCAACAAAATATATATTCAGCATGTCTGAAATTGATCTGAGGTCTGTTTTCACTTTCCTCAGAGACCTTGTGGTTTTGCTTTCATCTAGAAGACACTAAGAAAAATAATTAAACCATTTCCATAAGCTGATGTTTTCATTGCCTATAGCTGTGCACCCTTATTCTGCGCTAAACAAAGTCAATGCTTTGCCTTGGCAACGTATTTAACAGCGTTGTGTTTGGTTTGCAAAAGAGTAATTTAATGAATGGATAACTGATGTATGAAACACAGCATCCTTTTGGCGAGGAGGAGCTCTCCCTCCATCTTCATGACAGCTTGAAGAATGTTCGCTATGGCTGTGTTTCCCCAGCCCACTGGTGCTTGCTGTTGAACAAACATATCTGAACTTCCCCTTCTTCTTCCCCTTCCCCTTCCCGCTTGGCCTTATGCAGTTTCTATAAGGTTTTGCCCTGCGGATGATGAAATGACCCACCGGGGGTGTTTATGCCTCTCCCCTGTTCCCGCAGTATAACCTCGTGTGCGGCAGTGCCTGGATGCTGGATCTCTCACAGGCTATCCTCAACCTGGGCTTTCTGGCTGGCGCCTTCACCCTGGGCTACGCTGCAGACAGGTACTGTACGAGTTCTGCTGTCCCTTCACTTGTCTAGAGGTGAAATCACTTGTAGCGTCACCTGCGATAAGCATGCGTCAACACTTTGGAGGTTTAATTCACTTAGGATAAACATCCCCAGCGTGGGTTAACAAAACCCAGCCAATATAGTCTTTGCTTCCTTTTGAGCTGGAAACTTAATGCATTTGTACTTGCTGATCCCGTTTGGACTTTGAAGTGTCATGAAAAGAGCTTTTCTTGTGGTTTCCAATGTTTTCTGTGCACATCTGGACCCAAGAAGGGCAGAAGGACACAGAAATTAAAAGGAAGCATTCAGAGGAGCTTTCTGGACTGGTGTTTGCTGAAGGATGTTTAATAGCCACCCTTGATGAAGGAAGCAGCGACTTGAGGAAAGAAGGAAGGGACTCAGCACGGTAACTCTCTCCATCCACAGGCTGGGCTCGTATGCTTACCAGCGAGGTCACAGCTCCCTCCAGCCGGTCCTCAACTCTCTTAGAGGGGGATGAAAACCAAGGAAAAGATGTGGGGGATATTCAGGCTTGAGCAGCCGACCTGCCCCGGCGCGGGGAGCTCCCATAAGCTCTACCTTGATCTTAGAGTAAAGGAGGGAACCTGGTTTGTGCTTTGTGCTGATAATTAGCAGTAGTCAGCCTATGCGTTGGCTGAGAGCACCACTGATGATTTCAATGGCAGAACACATTTCTTCAGTTCATAAAAGACTGACTTTCTGCCTGTTTTATTTTTCTTTAGTATCTGTAATAATAGTGATAAAGACCAATTTCTTTATAGGCAGGAATACTTACAGAATTATCTGGAATGTCATCTCAGATAACAAATTTTGAACTAGCAAACAAAAGTACTTTCAAGGAGAACCTCATCTTTCCAAGGGCTATAGTAATAAGGGAAGAAGGCAGAAAAGATGCTATGGCACTGGCTAACTTAAGATATCACTGCTCAGTGTCTGGCTGGACACTTGTGATACTAGCACCTTAAGACTGTGTAAGAGTAGAAATATTACAGCTAATTATTAAAATAAAATAATGTGTCTGGGGTACTTGTGTATTAAGCATAATGTAACTACTGTTCAACTATCAATGTTGTACGTTGATAGCACCAGGGGGTGTTATCAGCAGCCAGACCATTAGACACTAGTCTCCTTGACAGCACTCAAAAGAATGGACCTGGTTGAAAATACCCTGATTTTTGTCCCATATAAATTCTTCTCATGAAACCTTTTGAACAAAATGAACAAACAAATTTTGTCTCAAAGACTTTTTTGCAGGGTAAACAGCTACATCAGTTTTCACAGTTTCTTCTTCTTAAAACAGCAACAATAAGAATGGAGAAGAGATCAAAATGGAAATTCTATTTGTGTTCCAAGAACACAGTTGCTGTGAAACTACAGGGAGATTTTTCGTTTTTGTTTTTTTTTTTTTTTGGAATTACAGCTTACTTTGGGTGTACCTATTAATAATGATGTTTTTTTGCTGGAAAGTGAGGCTCATGAATACGTTAGGCAGGCTTTGAAAACAAGTGAACTAAATTTAAACTAAACACTAGAAAATCACATAAAGTAATTAAAGAAGACATGACTTACTTTCACAGAGCTGGCTGTGATTACTATTAGGAGGCTCATTTGTGAAAACAGAAAGCCCCAATAAAAGTTGCCCTTATTTCAACTGGATCAAAAATCTGAACTGTAACATATGTGCCGTACTTTAGACACAAAGAGACAAACTGTTTTCTAAAATAAAAGGGGGCCTGGCAAGGACATCAGCAATTCTAAAATTAGTGACATAAAGGCAGTGCAAACTACCACAGGGAAGAAAGTCCCATACCCTTGGAACAAGGCTGGTCTCAAAAAGGCACTTTCAGATCTAGCACTAAAATGAGATGTCAGGGAAAAAAAATAAACTTTGTGTCTTTTCCGGATTTTCACTTTCTTTTCTTTTTTTCAACAGATATGGCAGAATCCTCATCTACCTGCTCTCCTGTCTCGGGGTTGGGATATGTGGTATCATAGTGGCATTTGCACCAAACTTTACTGTATTTTTGGTCTTCCGTTTTCTCCAAGGCGTGTTTGGCAAGGGAACCTGGATGACATGCTACGTGATCGGTGAGAGCTGTTGTCTTCTTTCTTTTCTGGTTAGAAAAAGTGAAGGATTTTTGGAGGACGAGGAGTCTGGCTACATTTGCTCTTGATACTATTTTTTTCTTGGGAACAAAGCACTGGCCCTGGGGTCAGCAGACAATAAATAACCCAAGTCTGTCCTAGTTAATGCATTTGTCCTCCAAGACAAGGTGCCTACATGCAAATTGTAACTTGGCATCATCCGTTGCCTGGGCTCACGCCTGAACTGAATGTCTGGGGAGGCAGTCACTGGCCTTTGTCCAGACCATGCTAGGGACCTTTCTAGCAGCTAAACCGTATAGTGTTTCCTTACCTGGCAATGTCTGCTAATTTACCGGTATGGCAGCGCGTGCAAACTCGCTGTGATATTCAGTACTGATACAGGATGGGAATGAGCAGCAGCGTACATGCCTACCTGACCTCACAGGATCCCACGGAGAAGAGCGAGGAAGGAGTAACGCACAAGGACAGACTAACAAGAGTGATGTGTCCTTCAGAACTGTCCCAACTCTGCTTTTGTATCCATCGGCGTGGTACTCGGATACGCCTGTAAGCAGTTGGCCATAGGCAATTCAGAAGCAATGCAACACTTTCTCTCGATGTTATTTGAGGACTTTTATGGCTGTCTAATCTATGGACTCCGATGAGGAGGGATTAGCATAAATAATTAAGAGGTGGAGGAGTGGAATGTGTATATATAAAGGTTTTCTTATTACATGGAAGATCACCAAGACGGTAAAAATCTACAGAGCAAGCTCTGAATAAACCGGATACGCAAACAGGGACATGGTTAATTTTGGCAGAGTCTGAACATCTTCTGCAGATGCTCAGAGGAGTTAACTGCTTTTCCTCACTGGGAGGACAGACACTCGGGAGGCTGCTCTTCATTCTTTAGCTGGGAGGCTCTGCTTAGTGCCAGGCTGGCCACCAGGATCCATATTAGGATTATTGTTTCCTGAAAAGAAAAAAGGAAGGGAAGATATTTTATAAATAGCATCAAAACAGCAGGGATCCAGACTCTTTGATAGGTTGTAGTCACGGCCCAGCAATGAAGCTCCTTGCATAGCAAGCTTACTTTTCATGAGGAAAGGGTATTGTTGTGGCATCTTGAATGACGGCCAGGTTCAGGAAGGGAAACTCCTCTCTCATGCATGAAAAAGCAAGCCATTGAGGAAAGCATCCTACCAGAGATGAAACGTCAGATTTACTTAAAAAGAAAATCAGCCATTCAGTAATCTACTGTGATAATCCGAAACATACAGTGCAAAAAACTTGCATCATCACTGTAGTCTGTGAGGCCTGTGACAATTTTTTTTTTAATTCCTAGTGGAATTTAGATGAGTGAGAACAGAATTGCAACCAGATGTAAACAGTTACAGTGAGACCTGGGAATGCTGTGGTGATGTATGTGCCAACATACCTGTCTATCGCTCGCAGCATCTAAAGCCCAGAAGCATCTCAGTTTTCTGGGCAAAGTTACACTGCTGAGCAGCTCAGGTCCAAGATCCAGTGAAAGGACCAGAAGCCACTTTCCCCCTCTCTTTCAATTACATGTCCTAATCTTAAAGTGAGATCTTACCCTAAAACTTTGGCAAGTGCTCTAACCAGCAAAATATTTTATGACAGACCCACGGCTTCCTTAAAAATGACGAAGTTTTAACAGAAAGGAATGTTTTTCAATGCTCAGATTGCCTGACTTTAGGGAAAGGTTCAGAGATAGAGCATCCTAAGGGGCAGTGTATTACCACAGCCCTAAGCAAAGTGCTTAATTCTTGGAGAGAGTGATTCCATCTAAATCCCTTCAGGGATCTACTCTTATTTGCGGGGATCACCCAGAGTATTTACCAACCTAACATCTTTTGAGAGGCATATACAGATCACTGGTTTGTTTGCACCAGGAGGATGGTTGCCATTAATACATCTCCCACACTGCTGATCTGTGCTTCAGAATCCCAACAGACTGCCCAAGAACCTCTCTTTACTTTTACATACAACACAGCTTTTCCCGGGCCAGTGCCGAGCAGCAAAATTTAGGCAATAGAGTTGCCCCTAGGTCATGCAGATGTGATGAATAGTCAATAAAAATAGTAATGGCGTCATATCTCTCTGCATTGCCAGCTGAAATGAATCACTATTACTCGTAAAATTGTGTCTCCTTTAGTAAAATTAAAAAAAAAAAAAAGAAGTGTTTTCTATGTATTATAAACCAAGGTAAAAGCCTCTGCTTTTACTCTGAAGGCTAGGTAGGGGTGACAGTTTTGAAACAAAGAGACGCTTCTTCATGCATTGCTCATCTCAACTACGGATCTCATGGCCATGGGATATTTTGTGAAATGTGGGCTTACATGGGTTTCAGAAGCGATCAGACACATTCACAAAAATAAAAAATCTGCCCAACAAGTGCTGTTTGTCCTAGTAAATAAACCACGGACCATACCTTAGCCCTCAGAGCACCCAGCATGGTATGGCTAAAGTCTCTTCCCCACAGACACCTTGTCCATGTTACCTGCTGGGAGCAACCCCTGCCTGGAGGATCCTCTGGAGCATGGGTCAAAACCATGCCATGATCACGATGCAGGCTCAAACCCCTGTTCTGGCTCTGTTTACTTCATTAGTAAACATGCAGCCAGAAACTCTTCTAGCTGAAGAATGGTGGGTGAGTTGATGAGGAGATGTCGGCCGTGCTTGCCCTGGACAGTCTCGGCGACATGCTTGCACAGCTGAAGGCAAGGCGCTGGGCTAGACAGACTTGTGACCTGGTACAGCACTGTCCTTCCTTATGTTCCACCACTAATATTTTTCTTTTGAGTTAGGTTTGTTTCTGTGTTGTTTATTTTGGTTTTCTCTCTGCTCAGTGACAGAGATCGTTGGTTCTGACCAGCGGATTGTTGGGATTGTGATTCAGATATTCTTCACCCTGGGAATTATGATTCTTCCTGGAATTGCATACTTGGTTCCCACGTGGCAGGGGATCCAGCTGGCCATTTCACTGCCCAACTTCCTCTTCCTCCTCTACTACTGGTAACGTTGCACTCATTGCTCTTGTCATTATTGCTATTGCTATTCGAGCGCCTTGAGACTCCTGCTGTGACCCCAAGTCTACAGTGTGCAGGATGTTGTAGGTTAGGAAGAAGATATTTGCATATTGTTGATTTTGGCATTTTTAATTCTTTTTATTGAATCACAGACATATATTACTTTCCTTTTTCTGCCCAGGGTTTGCCTCTCTCATCAGCCACAGCTGGAGCACGTAACCCTGTTTTGCCCTTGCTTAGTTCGGGGCTGTTTATCTGGCTAACTTGACCAAAGTCTGCTTTTCCCATCAGCCATGGGACCTCGCCTTTACCTCTAATTATGTACTCGGTCCAAGCCTGGACTTGCCCTACAGGTCCCATGAGTTGGGCAGTACAGCTAACGAGAAAGCGGAGCACTATGCCGTGGGGAACGCCGGCCCCAGCGGAGTGCAGCCCTCCCGTGGGCTGGATCCAAAGACACTAATCCACATGCCCTCTCCCTGCACATTGTTTCCTTAAACTTTACCTTCTTTTAAATCATGAATCATCTTAACCCTAGGCTAGCAGAAACTGAAACACCAATGAGTAGTATCGCTTTGTGTTCGGTTTATAATGTGTACATTTGACTCTGTGTGTCTATCTTATAATGATACAGCCCAAAGTCTCCTGATCTGCCTGTACTTGCTACTACATGTGTTTAGCGTTGACTTTCACTGTTCCTTGTTATTCTACAGGAACCTTGTTTCCTTGTTGGTCATCATACTTTTGACATCCATTGTGCAAATACAATAGATTTCTTATTTTTCAGCTTTGCAGAGTATTGATATTGTCTGTTTTCTTCTTTCTTGCCCACAAGGTTCAGATATTTTACAGGAGACTGACTGGATAAGCAGTCCACAAAAGAGTTTCTCTATCCCAAAGACTGAAAAATCAGCGTGTTGTGTATTAACACAGGCAAAAGGCAAAGGACTTTGGTTTATTTATGATGTTAAAGGGCAAAATGCGTATTTATGACTTCTGTGTTCTTACAGGGTGGTTCCTGAATCTCCACGTTGGCTCCTGACACGCAAAAAGGGAGAGAAGGCATTAAAGATCATGCACAGCATTGCAAAACACAATGGGAAATATCTCTCACCACATTACTCAGAGGTACTGTCATCTGTTTGAACTAGAGGGTTTTTTCTAAACTTTCTGAATCTTTTGAAAGTTCAGTTGTTTCAAAATGCATTTTCTTTATGTGATGGGCAGCACTCTTAAAGCATCACCCCAGAACAAGCTTGTCAGTCCCATAACTGCTTTGTTAATTGCAAGAGGGTAAAAGTGAACTGGCTGGAAACACATGGGCTGAAAAAAAGAAGTTTGCAAAACAATGAATCAGATCTTTCATTTGCAACACTCCTACTTTAAAAACTTGTGGGAAATTTCAGAAACTACCCTGAGGGCCAATGGCATTTCGCAGCAGCTGCCACTTTAGCTGACAGAGTGGAGACAGCAGGATCCGCTTTCCTGGCTCCTTTGCTGAAAGTTCCTTTAACAACTCAAAGAGAAGAAGGTGTAGAAAGTCATAATTTAAGTATAAATTTGCTTCCTTCCCAATAGGTCTTTCTCATTACTCTTTCTAAGCAAGGGAGAACCTGAGAATTTAACCCAGCTTATCCAAAAAAGTGGGGTTGCTTCACCAAAATCCTAGAGTGTCATTCCGGATGAAACCCAAGCAGTAATTATTGGCACCCTTCTGAAACACCAGGTAGCTGTTCCCAGATCCATAGGGTTTTATTTACCTGGTGAGAAACAGGCTCCATGAATCAGCCAGCCAGCCTAAGCAGCTGCTATGAGTATAAGCCATGCAGGAGGTGCACCCAGGAAGAAGTATGTGACATCAGGACGATAGAAATGGCCCGTTGATTTATACCAATATTCCATTGTGTCTCCACTTCATTAAGTATACGTTAATGACACTTCTGGCAAGGTAAAGTTCACACAACAGGTCCCGCAGAGAAGCTGAACGCTAACCTATACTATGCATCTTAGGGTATATGACTCTGGACTAAGGGTTTTATAAAGTCAAAACTAGACCTATCAGCAGAGATGAGCATGCTGAAACATACATTTCCACAGCCAGCTGCTGTATTTGTAAGTGACTTGTCCAAGTGCAATAACGTGGCTATAATGGCATTTCTATGAATGTTACGTTGCTCAGGGGAGCGCACAAAGGTTAACGACGGGGAGGGAGGTTTGTCAGGGGAAAACGTTGTATATGACTTCCTCGGCCAAGAAACGGGATATGCCGGATGAGACTGTTGTACATTAGTGAAACAACATGACAGAAGGAGTTTTGGCCCGATGTCCAAGTGGAGGCCAGTGATGAGTGGCGTTCCTTAGGGGTCGGTACTGGGACTGGCAATGTTTAACATCTTTGTCAGGGACATGGGCAGTGGGGTTGAGTGCACCCTCAGCAAGTTTGCCAACAACATCAAGCTGTGAGGTGTGGTTGACACGCTGGAGGGAAGGGATGCCATCCAGAGTGACTTAGACAGGCTTGGAACTAAATAGTCTTTAAGGTCCCTTCCAACCAAACCATTCTACGGGTCTACGATTCTACAAATTATTGTCCTTGGCTGGGGCATATACAGCAGCGAGACTCCCCTGTCCTGGGCAGCATTACCCAGTGCCGAGTGTGGCCCGAGACAGATGGGGGGAGGGTTGTGCTGCTGCAGCTCCCTCTCCACGTTCAGCCCTGTGTCCCTATATCCCCTTCCCCCCTCTAAACTTCAGCATTTTCAAAGCGCCTCATCAGAATGGAGATGTGTGTCATTCCCTGCTTTTTGTTTTAAGTTGTATTTAATTTTTTTCAGAAGCGTCCCTGCTCATGACCCTAAGCCACTCACAGCTGCAGCAGATTAACCTCCACACATCCAGATTTGTGCTGGATCTGTTCCTGGGACATGTTTTTAATATACAATCTCTGTCATCCTTGGTGCTGTGCCCGGAGGAAGGAGAGCATCTCCAGGAAGCACATTAGTCGCGGATCAAGTGTATTCCTTACATTAACTTATGTCAGACTTCTCTTCAAGAAGCAACTCCAGAATTTCAGGCAAAGTGCTGCAGGTGTGGAGGGACAGGGAGAAGTGAGAGGCATTATCCACCAATGCATTTTGGCTAGGATTTTCCAATACGTCTGTAACAATTTCTTTGGCTGAGTCCCTTACATGGCTCTGGATGTAGCAGCCTTGCATTTTTATTGGCATGCAGAAACCACAGATGACCTTTGTATGAAAACAGATAAACATTTGCTTCTTTTGCTCTGTGAGTTATGACACTAGTACAGTTCAGCTCCATCTAGAACTCATTAAATTAATTGTAAATTATAAACTCTTTTTTTTCCAGTTGCTTGCAATTATCTTAGCGTGTCTTTTTTTCAAGGTAATTTTTTAATTCTTGGTCTCTGTCCAAAAGCAGAATGGACTGCAACCAGCTGACTAAAAGCTGCTTCTTGAGAGTTAAGGATCAAACTCCCCTCTCTCTTTATATATAGATAAATATTTCTACTATATAGACATATCTAGACATATATATTTGTAGTATATATCAACTTACATACATATGAATTATAACATGCATGGATGTACTGTCCTGCGCAGAATTAAACATGTGCAGAACTATATGTCTGTGCCATACGGAATCTTTGAATATTATTGCAGAAAAACTGATACGTAATTTTCCTGGGACACAAAAATGTCAAGGCAGTTGGTTATAAAACTTCCTCCAGAGTTTTCAGAGAGTGTAACATTGGAAACATGGGCCCTGTCATTGAATTCCTGACTGCACTGTGTGAATAGCAAACCTCTCCTTGACTTCAAAGAACAAAAAGAGGATTTTCTTCCCTACAAAGAGCTGACTTTCGGCAGTGATTTTTTTTCTTCATCCATAAAAAAATGCTCAGTCATACTTGGGGTTATTATGACTTTATTAAGACATAAAAATGTATGGTAGCAGCCGTGCTGACTTTATCTTTAGTCCTTTGGAAAACTAAAAGCACAAAGTCACAACTGATGGCTGGCAGCCTGCTCTTATAAACACAGTCATGACAGCTTTATAACCAGAATAGGAGAGAGCCCAAGAGCAGGGCAGAAACCCAGCAACCTCCTCCTGCCCCACAAAGGGCTCTGGCATGCGGCAGAAGTGGCAGTGCTTTAAAGAAAACTGCTGATTCTAATGACAGAAGAAAATCGAGAGGGAGTAGAAAGGAAGTTCAAATCAATGTGAGGTTTCCCTGACCACTTACAAAGTTGTGTGTCACTCAGTTATGAAGAAGTCATGTGTAACTACATCCAGCCAAATCTCACTCAAAAACACCTGTGCTACCTTATGATACGAAAACAAATACGGGGCAAAATCTTTGGGCATAGCCCTGGCTGAGATGATGAGACCCTTGGGCAATGCCTTTGGCTTTACCCGTGTTCTTACCACAGACCAGCATGTTCCCAGGTGCATCTCCATCCTTTCAGCCGTGTCTCCCCACAGCCCTTGACGGTGTCCTTGGGCTCCTGTGCCTGCACGGGCAGCAGATGCTGTGGTGGTAGAGGAGGGTTTACTCCTCTCTTTCCTCTCTCAGGAAGGGGGGCAATAACTGAGACTCAAAGCAGCCAGGCCACCTGAAATCCTCCTAAAAAGGGCACAGCGGGTTTAACCCCATGTTGCCTACAGCTGCTTTGAGAGCTGATGGTGATCCCAGACCCGGCTGCCTGTTCTTGGATGGTCTCATGGTTTGTCCCTGCCTAAAACCACCTCTGCCTTCTCTTCCTCCTCTTCCTCACCTGCCAAATGAACATACGAACAAAAGGGCTGCCACCTGGCTGGGACATCACGGTTAAACACTGCTGGCCACAGTTAAAAACAGCCTCCATCAAAGTGCCTAATCCCTTTCTGGCCGTGCTAATATTGTGGCTCCACAATATCCTGTGGCAATAGACTCCAACGTGTAAACACAGACTGTGTGAAATCCTGCCCTTTTCTCTTATTGTTAAACCTTCTAACTAATGATTTCATTGAGTGCCTCATTATGACTGTTGGAGGAAGCTGAGAACAGATTTACTACACTCTGTAGGCAGTATGAAGGCCATTAATTCATACTTTGCAGGATTTTTTTCTTCCAGGGTAAAAGCCACATTCAGCACAGTGCTTGTGTGTTTTAAACCCCTCTGAATTTCACCAGCTGAATGTTTTGTAGCGCCTTTACAGATTTATTCTTTCTCTCACTCCCGTTTTCTTCCCGCTGTCCAGCCGTACCACCACCCATGTTCCCAAGCCCATCGCTTGCTGCTCACGCCATCTCTCCCTGCTTCCCTCAGCCCCATCGCTTTGCCCTTCCTCCCACCATCTCCTCCTCTCTGTCATCTCTGGCAGAAGGCAGCTCTGCTCCCAGTGACCCTGACATGATAACAACCGCTTATTGCCTTCCAAGAAATTCCAGGTCAATCTCTCTCAGTTTACAACAAGGAAATCATTTTTCCAGTCTCAAGTCCAGATTGAGGATTTTTTTTTTTCCTGTTCTTTGCACGATCATCATTAAGGAAAGCCCACAGCTGTGTCCAGTTATAACCTATTTCCCGTATCTGCCCACTGCTCTGGAGTGCTAAAGCAGCAAGCTGGCTCATCAGCACCTTTGCTCTCTGGACTGGAATATCGCTGAGCATCGTGTTTACGCAGAAATTCTGCCCCAGCGCCTGCCTGACCCCTGACAGCTGACTCTACTGCTCGCTTTCCTCCTCAGATCACTATTAGCAACGAGGAGGTCAGCAACCCCTCCTTTCTCGACCTGGTGAGGACTCCCCAGATGAGGAGGAACACGCTCATCCTGATGTATGCCTGGTGAGTGCCCACCTCCGTGCCAGCCTTGTTACCAGGGCAGTGGGTTTCCAAGAAAAATCCCCTTGTGACTTTTAGAGTCTTTCCAACTGCTTGCAGTCAACTTGTTTGCATCTCAACATTTTTTTCCCTTTACTGTTTAGGTTCACAAGCGCCCTGATCTACCAAGGGCTTGTCATGCGCCTAGGCATTACCGGAGGAAACCTCTACCTAGACTTCCTCATCTCAGGAGCTGTGGAGCTGCCTGCTGCTCTCCTAATTTTGGTGACAATCGATCGCATTGGCCGGCGCCTTCCTTTTGCAATAAGCAACATCGTGGCAGGAGTTGCATGCCTCATCACCGCCTTCTTGCCAGAAGGTAATTCCCTTCCTAATGTCAGGCTTTTTAGGTCAATGACTTCTCTCTGACACCGCTTAAGCAAGGACAGTGGGCCACACAATACTGTATAGAAAAGCAAAACGTGGCATTGCAAGCAGCACCACAGCCATGGAACAACGTACCTCATTTGCTTATAGATTGCTCTGGGACATGTCATGGCCATATCTTTGATGGGTGGTGAGCAACAGCTGGTGTAGTCTTAGAAAAAAAAACATGTATAAGGGTCCTGTACTGTTTTTGAAGGCAAATGCAAGGGAAGAGTATTCAAACATAAAGGGAAGAGACATTCCCTGACTTAGAAGACACTTAATGATGTAAGAAATCAGTGATTTTGCTGAGACAGCTTGGTGCCCTTCTCATTTGCAAATAAAACAATGCAAACCACAGCGCGATGTAAGGGCTGTGGCAGACAACATGGAGATTGTTGCCCTGCCCTCACCCTCTCAGGGGTTTGGACATTGTTAAGGGCTTGGAGGAAAGATATGGCTTTTGGTTAAGTCATTCTTATCTGGTTTCAAGGACAGCTAAAATGTCTGATACTGCACACAGGCTTCCCAGCACTCCTATCTTTTCTTTAAATTGTTTTCCCTCCTGTGTATTTTTTTTTAATCCCTGGGGAAGCATTTGGAGGGGCTCTGAAGCGAATGTTACCGTATCAGCACGCTTTGCCTTAACATAGCTGGGGACTGGCAGCTGAACAGACACAGGAGAGGTTTGGTCCTCCCCAGGGATGTTCCTGTCAAGGTAAGGGATGGTCCTGGCCAGCCTTAGAGACTTAGTTCCCAAAGTTATATCGTGGGGCAATTGTTTTGCTAGAGAAGAACCATGACAAGTCACTTCAAGAGTATGATGAGCCCATGAAAACAGGCAGGTTTGTGGTGAGTGCAAAATGAAATCCTTCAAAGAGGTGCGTTGGTTCACTTCTGTCTCGGTTAAGCTCCCTTTAAAGGGATTCCTCCAAAAGTACTTAAAATTAATACCCTATGCTTGAGGAGCTTTGTTGCTTTAATAGAAGCCGAAATGATGGGGAAGTGAGAGGGAAGATCAACAGTCTGCTCCTGGTGCCAGCACTGGTGGCTGTGCGATCGTGCCCTGGGATGTCACGGTTGTCATCACTTGTTTGCATTCATCGATTTGACCACTGAAGCCATGAAGACTGACTCTGCTGTCCTGGTGGATTTTCCCCAGGTCCTCACTTCTGTGTCCCTCTCAGAAAAGCCACCGTACGGCGAGTGGATGCCAGCCGCCCCGTGCCCGACACAGGGCATGGCAATTCAGGCACTGAGAGCTTGGTCACTGTGGCATCTGCTGGCTTTGCCAGCATCATTTTCCACCTGTTAAGAAAGTACAGGGACAGCAGGGACTGGGGACTGTTGATCACCAGGAGCCAGGGTTGTTGCAGGAGGAGGAAACAAAGAGCGGTACTGGGGAATTAGTCCTGCAGGACACCTGCTTCTACCACCTTCATCTGTTTTGGGTCACACCATATGCTAAGCATGGTGCAGCAGGGCTGGGGTTAGAGCAGGAGCATCGTGTGGGGCTGGTATGGGCTGAGCAAGGGGAGAATGCGGTGGGCTGGGGCCAGCAGGATGTTGCCATCAGCCTGATCTCAGTAAATGCGAAATGCTGAGGGGACCCTGCCCAGGTGAGGAGAGGACAGTCTGGGGATTAAGATACTTGCAGATGGGACACCTGAGGTCCAAATCCTGCTTTCAAGAAAAGTCTGTTTAGACAGATGGGAAAAGCTGCAGCGGTAGTTTGTGTGAGCTCCATCACGCTGGGGTGCTCGCACAGTTTGAGTCCCATGGCAGAGGGAGAGGCACACGGACATCGCCCTTACCTCGGCGGTCTGATGGATTGAAGGGGTGCCAGGGAGACAATGTGGATTTGCTTTGTTCTTTCCATCCTTTGCTTTTCTTAGAAGTGTTTGAAAACAGAACTTTTCAGGGCAAAGGCAGTGTCTCGCGACATGAGAAGAAATTTGATGGGGGTTTGTTTGGTTGTTTTGGAAAGGAAATAACCCCAAGCATCTCATTTTTTGGTTCAGAGCAAACTGAAATGTTTTCTTGTTCTTCTGATTGAAGTTTTGAGAAAACACAATCACTGCCAAAGCCCTCTCCAGTGGCAGAGCTCCCCTTCATGCCAAGTTCAGGCTTGTTGTTTCACTCTCCTCCCCATCTGCCCATACAGGAGACTGTCCTCTCCCAAGGGCATTGCAGAAGTGCTCATTGCATTCCTTGTGATGCTCCTAGAGAGGCCACCAGCCCTCCAGAGAGGGCATTTGGACTGCTGAGGGGTTGCACATGGTGAGATGGGATGGCCCTGCCCTGCAATGCAGATGTGACCATCGCACCCCTGCTGATGTATAAGGGCTTCCCACTGACGTAGGGCAGTGGCTGTGCACCAGAGCTCCAGCAGAGCTGGGATAACTGGGCAGAACCATCGGGGCAGGGTAAGGCCCCTGGGCCGGTTGTGTCAGGTACAGACAAGCACCAGGGAAGGGAAGGGGGAGGATGGCAAGGAGTAGCATTATTAGGACTGTGTTATGTGCAATGGCTAGACAAATTATGAAGTGTAATTGCCCCATTCAAGGGTGAAATATTCAACTGTAGCATCTCTGGAGGTATTTAGAAGACATGTAGATGTGGCACTTAGGGACATGTCTAGCAGTGGACTTGGCAGTGTTAGGTTTGAGTTCAACTCGATGATCTTAAAGATCCTTTCCAACCTAATTGATTCTATGATTCTATGCAGCTTTAGAGGTATCTTCTTTGTGATTAGAAGGCTTTGGGAGATGACTCAACAGTGTTTCTTACAGCATAACATCGCTATGTAAATAAATGCCCCTTTCCAGAGCACAATTTGAACATGGTAATGGAAACTTACAACGTTCATTCTCCCACCCATGCTGTTATGCCCCGCCAGCATCTTGAATCAATCAACTAGAAGTAATTTCTGATTCTCCAAAGCAGCCTTACATGACACTGGAAAGCAATAAATGCCAGTATAGATTGATATCTACAGGGGTGGCCTTTCAGTCTGATTTGCACTGATCCAGTGTTTCTGTGATGTAGCTTCTGCTGACAGGGCCTGGGGCTCCCAGAAATGGTCTGCTGGTGCAGCTAAGCACACTTCACCTGGATTTCTTTTTGAATGAACAGATATCCCATGGCTCAAAATGACGGTCGCCACGCTGGGAAGGCTGGGCATCACGATGGCTTTTGAAATCGTCTATCTTGTGAACACTGAATTGTACCCTACGACGCTGAGGTATGTCAAAAGCTCCCAGGAACCCTTCAACTTTTCCCTCTGCTTTTCCCCATTCCCTATTTCACCACTGTTTAGTAAATCTTGTTTTTCTCCAGAGTTTCCTAACTGAATAGCCGCTGCTCAATGTAGATGGCATATGCTTACAAGATCATTTTGGAGCTAAGTCTACATTCTGCTCCTTAAACTGCTAGTTCATCAGTTTGGTAGCACCTCTCAAATATCTTGCACTATTTTTCTTTTGCAGAAACTTTGGTGTTTCCCTGTGCTCGAGTTTGTGTGACCTAGGTGGGATCATAGCCCCTTTCCTGCTTTTCCGATTAGCAGCCATTTGGTTGGAGCTACCTCTAATTATTTTCAGTAAGATTTGATTTTAAATATACTTTTGGTTTAAATATCCTCCTCCTAACAGAACTTTTCTTTTGAGGCAGAAGTTTAGCATGTGACCACATCTCCCCCTGAGACCAGCCTCTCTCAACCTTGATGCCTAGAGCAAGAGCCTGAACGGCAAATGGGTGAAATGTGGGTGATTTCATGGCACGCTATGGAAGAGCTCAGATCTGCTTGGGTAACTTGGCTGAAGGAGCATAAAAGAAACCATGTGAGGTGCTTTAAGACTGAGAAACCTTGCAGCTAAGTTCTGTAATTGCAGAGAAATAAACTTAGTCTCCCAAGAGTAGAGGTTAATGTCCTTTAAAAAATACTTTGGGTTTTTTGGTAGATACAGGTATGATTATGGATGTTGTATTAACCATAACTTCACATTCCTGTCAAACTCTTTTCCTCAGTTGCATTTTGGAAAAAATGGGCCGTGCAGAGGAATTCTGTGGGAAAAAAAATTAGTTATTTCCAACAAGGAAATGGGAGTCTGTGACTAAACCGGACTTCCAGGAGATACATGTGACTGGGAAAAAAGCAAAAGAGATAGGCTAGAATAAGAAGGGAAATTGGTGCTAATGACAACTTTAGCTAAAAACAAAAATGGAAAGACAAAAGCAATTTTAAAAGATTACCATTATTCCAAGAATAGACATATATAGAAGTACAGTGTTCACATTATCTAATTCTGAAATTCTGGTACTGCTGAAGGACATACGAATTCCCTCTGTCTTGAGTAAACAGCTACCAAATCAGAGAGGATTGGAAAGGACTGATGCAGCCCTCAAGAGAAGGACTTGGGGGTGTTTTGGTTGATGAGAAGCTCACCATGACCCGGCAATGTGGGCTTGCAGCCCAGAAAGCCAACCGTGTCCTGGGCTGCATCCAAAGCAGTGTGACCAGCAGGTCAAGGGAGGGGATTCTCCCCTCTGCTACACTCTGGTGAGACCCCCCCTGCAGTACTGCCTTCAGCTCTGGGGTCCTCAGCACAAGAGGGACATGGACCTGTTGGAACGAGTCCAGAGGAGGCCACGAAGATGATCCGAGGGCTGGAGCACCTCTGCTGTGAGGACAGGCTGAGAGAGTTGGGGTTGTTCAGCCTGGAGAAGAGAAGGCTCCGGGGAGACCTTAGAGCAGCCTTCCAGTACCTA